GTTTCATCAAAATCGGGGTTTGATAATTTTTTGTTAAGTTTGTTAATTTTTTTGTGATTTTATTAATGTTTATGGTTAATTTTAATTTTTTTTTGTGAAAAAGTAGCAATATATTTATATTAGTAATGAAATTTTGATTTTTGTCCGCACAGTGTGGCGCCTAAATCGAAGACAATTGATCTGTGAGGTGGCAAAGTATGAATTCGATCTAACAAAAACTTATTGCACCTGTAATTGTATCAATTACTACTTTTTTTGTATTAAAAATCACAATCAAATAATAATTTAAGAATTTTATTATAGAAAATATATCGTTATTAATATTTTCTATATTTGAGTTTTGTTTTGACTAGTACAGTTGAGAAAGGACCACCTTAAATCATGCTCGACAAAAATGACTACAGTAACCAAACTGTTCGTCCAATCTAAAATAGGTACGTATAAATATGAATAAGAAGTGTATCATCAACATAATGGAATAACAAATAACATAATATTTGACTACTTCTTGTAAAAGTGGCTGTCCTGTAATATTTGAACAGAATAGCATATAGATAGTATATTGAGTATGTTGATTTGTCTTGTCGCAAACGTGACGAAATTGTAAGGAAAAAGAGGGTTGAAAAATATAATTTCAATTGTTCAACCACGACTGTTTTATCATCGAATCCAAAATCGGACTGAATGCGGTTATAAGTAATGTTAAATAATAATCCTTAAAGGAAGAACACGCGGTGGATATTGTAGCAACAATATATAGTGGGTGTATAATGTATTCGTACGCCGATCAATTTCCTAAAAAATTTTTGTGAAATTGTAGTTTATTAATTTCATTTTTTATAATCTATGATATTCTACATATTCTCGGAAATCTCTAGAATAGATATAGTCCAAACAACAGTTATTACTTTATATAATTTGCGAAATTACCAAGAAAATACGAAAAATTGGCAGAAATATAGAAGCAATAAAATTCGTATGGTTTTTATAACGAACCATTTACAGTAGAATTTGTAACATAAACACATCAGTTTATAGCTTCGTACGAATTATAAAACATCAAATTTACAGTAAAGAAGTCTTAAAAAATGTTTTAATACAAGAGTGGTAGAAGATCCCACCCTAAATAACATCAAATTTAGTTAATTTACTTAATGCCTAGAAGAGTTCCAGCAATTATAAAATGAAACTGAAATCCCACGAAGTATTCATTACTTATAAATTACTGTAAATTAATGTAAATTTCATGTTTTTTTTAATGAAGTTTTGAAAATTTAACATTTGTTCGAATACTTATTGCTTCTATATTTCTATCGATTTATTGTTTTTTCTTGTTAATTTTGCAACTTATATAAATAACTAATTTTGTTTATACTGCATCTATTGTAGAGATTTCCAAGAATATGTAGAATATCATTGTTTATAAAAGAGAAGTTAATAAATTACAATTGAACGTATTTTTTTTTATTGGCCAGTGTACGAGTACTTACTACACCCACTCTAAATTATCTGAAACTTTGCTTTGTATAGAAAACGATACCGCGAGCATGGAGTTGACCAGCATTCGTATCTGTGTAGTAAGTGTATCTAAAAAAAGTAATTATTTTGAGCCATTTCTAGCGTCGAATTTTGCATTTTTCATGGGATTATAGGGTAAATAATATTTTTTTTTAGCAAAAACTAGTAATTTTTAGGTATGTTTGCCGATTACGTCGAGATGGCTTGATCAATCGGAATGAAATCTCTTGCATCCTTTAGAATATTTCTTCCAGTCCGGTAACAAAACATTTTGTGATTTGCCATTTTTTACCCGCTTAAAAAAAAAAAAAAAAAAAAAAAAAAAAAAAAAAAAAAAAAAAAAAAGAAAAATTTTGTCATGTTTCTTACTCCGAGACGGATGGACCAATTAGATTGAAACTTCGTGCATCTGGAAGAGCATTTGCCATTTGGTCCCATAACAAACTCTTTCTTTTTAACCGACTTCGAAAAGGAGAAGGCTACTGAATTCGACATGTATATATATTTTTTTCTTTCTGTTTTATGTTTCTTTACCGATTACATCGAGATGGCTTGACCAATCGGGATGAAACATTTTGCATCTGGTAGAACACCATTGCCACTTGGTCCCATCAAAAAAATATTTGACCTTGTTTTATTTTTTACCACTTCCTATCACTTTTTATCGCAAAAAGCGTACTATTTCACGTATGTTTGGCCTGAGATTGATGAAACTCCCTTACATTTTGCTACCGGACAGTTTTTTGCGATGATCCCATTTGCAACCAATGTTTTTACAAAACGTGTAGTATTGGTTCATTTGTGGTTCTCGGTGTATGGGCGATCGGATAATGCTGATGGTTCGCTTTGTGTCGCCATAAAATACGAATCCGAACGCAACTAATTGCTTGTACCTGTTCGACAAAAGGAAACACGTTGGTCCCGTGCCAATAAACACGTCCCTTATGCCCTCTTCTTGTTCGTTCGTTCCTTTCGTTCTCCCGTTCGGAGTGACGCAAGGTGGATCTACCTCTCAAGCTACCTCAGGAGAGCCAGGGGGCCTCGGTTATTTATCCGCGGAAGGGTCTATTAATTTCAAGCCAATAATAACTCGGACTCCTCGCACTAATTAATATATGAGCACCATTGGGGCCGGTAAGAGCCGAGCAGGTTCGTCTCTCCGGACCATCTTAAAGACCCGCTTCGCTGCCTCTTTCTCTTAGCTTCTTTCCCCGCCGGTCCTTCCTTCTTTTCCCCTTCGCTATTCACTCTCATCTTCTCTCTGCTTTCCTCTTTTCCTCGCGCGGGCCTCTCGTATCGGCAAAACGATGATGAAGAACTGACTCTGCCGACAAAGACACCGCGACATGAACCATGCGTTCTCGTTGCTCACATCGCTTGACCGACTCTCCTGAAAGGTATCTCTCGAATCTTGATCAAGTACTCCGAGAGATAGGTGTACGTGTGCTGTAAAAATGCTCAGGACCTGGTTAGCTTCCGCCAAAAACCGATAGTTACGAACAGAATTGAATTTGAAATTGTACGAATGCTGTCTTAAAAATTTGTCAAATTATATGTATAACGAACTACATGAACGGAGTACATGAAGCAATCACATGACATTTGAGAATTGCACAACTAAAAGTAATTAGACGAATTACTGTTCAGAACCAATAAAGAAGACACTGGAAGTAAATTTTAATAAATATCAATCGACAATTTAAAGGAATAACTATTTAGGAAAGGAATAAGTATGTTTTTTTTGTGACACAGCTATAACATCAGAATATTAAGTGTTACAAATAAATTATGTAATTCGCTTCGGACTGGCAATTCATTGCAAAGTAACCTTGCCTTTATGTTATCATTATAACCGCTTTAGATATTATATACATTAACACTATACGTATACAATATCGCCAATCCCACCAAATACTATCCCAAACCTACTCAGACAGTATGTATCCCCATAAAAAACTTCAAAAAGTAAAAAAATTACGCCAAACACATGAAAAAGTGGAGGACTCAAGGAGTTATCATAGAAAAATAAAAGATCCCTATAAAAAACTACAAGAAAGTAGAAAAAGATGTGAAATCGAAATGAGCTGCCAGTGCATGAAGGTGCTTTCCAGCAATATGCAAAGGCGACACTCTATAACACAATGTAAAATTCGGTGGTTTCCAACTATGCGCAGCTAAAATGCTGAGTTCAACAGTGCAGACGTTCAGACCCTAATGACAACTCATGTAAACTAACTGCTCTACACTTTGGCGGTGAAATGACGAAGCTAAATAGTGTATCAACCACAAACTGAGACTGTTTAGACATTTGTCTAGATGTCCGTGGCCTGGAAGTCAAATGCTTGGCGTGGCCAGGCAAAGCATTCTCAGATCATCAATACCCATACTTTCTCTCTCGCAGACTACGCAGAAAACCGTTCCAACATTTACCGCGGGTGGTTTTCTCTTCAGAAATGTTTGCAGAATCCAATAACGTAGTGTAAAATCGACCTAGGTGAATAACTCTTTGTTATTGTTATTGTTATACTCTAGGTGAGTAACTCTTCATTAAAATACAAAAGTATTTCGTGAAAAGTACTCAGGTCGTCAACTTTGGGTGATGGAGCAATTTCACTTTCGGTTTCGTATTTAGGACGAGGAACCCTATAAGAATCACCTAGTGGATATCGCGGAATTTAAAAAAAGTTTAAATTTGTTGGACAGTGTAATATGTCTATAATATTTTTAATATATATAATCTAAAATAATCCATGTAAAATAATATGACAAAATGAATTCTTTAGTTTTGTGATTTATATATGTCGCAGGGAAATGATAAAAATAGAGATTTGATCAAATCCCTAAGGTAGATGATCAATTCACGGGAGATGTTAAAATAAAAACTGTGTGAGGTCATTTCCCTAAAGAAAGTAAGTGATTTGATCAAATCCCTTGACTGTTTTAGTGAAAAGATGGAATAATATTGTTTAGATATTAAAAGTATTAATGTAGTAAATCATGCGTTATTAAGTGAAGAGTATGTAATACAACAATAGTCGTAGAAACATAAATTATTTATTATGTACATTCCTGAAAAGTATTATTTTTGTTTTTTAAAATATCAGCTTAGGTACCTTTTTTTTTGCTAATTAGTCTTGAATAAATAATTTATGTTTTTATGAGTATTGTTGTATTACCTATTCTACTTTTAATAACGCATGATTTACTAAATAAATACTTTCAATATCTAAACAATATTATTTCATCTTTACACTAAAAAACAATTAAGGGATTTGAACAAATCACTTACTTTCTTTAGGGAAATGACCTTACAGAGTTGTTATTTTAACATCTCTCGTGAATTGATCATCTACCTTAGAGATTTGATCAAATCTCTATTTTTATCATTTCCCTGTGACATATACACAGACTTCTTATTTTTTTAATTGAAGAAAGGAAAAGAAAAGGAGAACGGGTAAAGAAAGTGAATGTATATATTTCATATGATACTAATTTATTAATTACAAACATTTATTGATTCAATTCATGAATTAATACAAATATCAGCAAATTTGTTATGCACACCGCTCATCATCATCTTATGCTTCAATTATCTGTAACACATACAAACCATATTTTAGTTGCAAATTAACGCAAAACTTAAAATAAAAATAGAAATCATCATTTTCATACAACCATTATGTACAGCTCACTTAATTCCTTCTGTTGTACACTCTGTCAGATCGTAGTATATTTTAACTGACAAATTTCAATATAGCTGTCAAACTTTATCGTATTTCCTGTAATACTTGCACGATTCTTCTTGTGGTATTTTAATAATTACTACCAAATATTCTTCACTCAGATAAAATACTAGAATTTCACAGAGGCAGCTCTTATTTTTGGAGAGCACCAAAATACTGTTGCTTCGTCAGCAAATTATTTGCTTCATGAAACAACCAATTCATCCCTTCGTTTCCTCTTATTGAAATGACTGTCGCTGCTTATATCAATCAAAGTGTGGAAACAGAAAACACACAAGAATTTACAACGATATTACACATACTTTAAGCGCACACAACTACTTATCAAATAATGGTAAACACTATCTACTTTTAATTGTGGATTTTACTTACTCTTTTATTGATGATGTTATATGCTCCTCTTCTTGATGTGAAATATAATAAAATATGTCGCACTGCTAATACTACTATTATAGTTTTACTGCGTGCACACACGTATTACAAGGCAACAGTACTGTCTCTTGTGCATTATTTCTTGCAGCATCTGGTGAAATTTTTTTCTTCTGTTTTAATAATCTGCATCCTGCTATTCCTCACTGTAACATATATCTGTCAAACGAATCTGTCAAACGATACTAACCTATATCTGTAAAACGAATCTGTCAAACGATACTAACCTATATCTGTAAAACGATATACACAAGTATTTCTTACGCCGGCCGACGAGCCTTGCCGACTGATTCCGAGAGTCGACGAGTCGACGAACAGCCTTGTCTCCTATTGGCTAAGTGTTGACGAAAAATCGACTGGAAATGTATAAGACGGTAATATTTTTGGATGTATCGTGACATGATATTACGATATCGCTGTTGTACGTGTCCCGATTTGATTGGTTTTGGTTTTATTCGAAAGCTTATGTGCGATTTACATAAGAAAAATGCGTTTAAATTTAGAAAATATAGCAGGCGTGATGAGATATTAATGAAAGAAGTTTCAAGTTAGGTTAGAATGGACCATCTCTCCTGTAAAAGATAGCGGTAGCGCCACGTTATACAGGGTGGCTTTATAATTTTTCATGAACTTGGCGTCGAGACGCTACCGCGTCTCTAGATTTCCATGAAGAGAGTACGTACATTATCAATGATCAATTTTGTCGCCCACCTCCCAACAAAAAAATACTCCTGAACGTCCTGAGAATGTCCCTGGAACGTCTCAGTTACATCGCAGGACGTCGTGGCGTGGACATTCTATGTACGTCCTTGGGACGTCCGATGTGGACATTCCCAGAACGTTCTCTGTAACATTGAGATTTAAAATAAAATTAAATTTAAATTTTATATATTTTCTTTTATTTTTTGGTGGATTTTAGTTAACTGTATTTATTTCTTGTAACTGGATTCCATGAAAAACGATGAACAAATCTTTCAATTTTTATTTACTTCCGGCGGGATTCGAACTCACGATTTTCGAACTACAATCGCAACCTGCTTCCTCACTTACCCATAAACGACTTTGCTGAACCGATTCATATTTCAGGCTTATACAGGGTGTCCAAAAAGTCGGGGAGGAGCCGGAAATGGAGGCTAGCTGAGACGATTCTGAACAACAATTTCCTTTGCAAAAATGTCGGA